TTCAGAGTGCATGTGGCAACAGTGAAAAAGGAAAGACTCCCCCTTTACAGGAAGAAATCTACTGAAAAAATCTCCTTCAATGTATTCAATCAACTTTCTTAATGCATGGTTTGAGACAAAGCAAAGTCACCATATATACTGTATATATATATATATATATATATATATATATATATATATATATATATATATATATATNGATGAACAGTAATGAGAAACAGGGCAGAGTTAGACAGGTGAATGAATTGATGAATTAAACCAGCCATCAGCGCCAAGATCATGACATCTCTTTATGTCTTACAACAATGTTGAATTCTTACCCTATGCACACTTTTGTTAATTTAATTACACAGATAATAGTGTAAACCATCGTGATTTTTTTTTTCAGAATATGCCTTTTAGCTCTCCGCTTCATATTTTTTTAAATCAGTATTGTTTCTCTAGCAGACTGCAGCCAGACTAAAGTGAAATGTGTTTTTTCTTCTTGTAGACATTATGTTAAAGGTTAAGGCAAAACCTTTAAACCACATTCCCTGTTCACTGTCTAAAAATTTACTTCAAATGTTTCCAGAAGGCAAAATCCGAGCCCAGAGCTTGACTTTGAAAATGTATATTTTTCCTTAACTTGGGACTGCATCACACAAACAGTTGGTGACACAGTGTATGCATAGTAACACAGACACGTCTAGCTAAGTGAAGCTGCTTGCAGGCTGGAAAACCTCTCTGCTTGGTATTTTAGTCAATGTTTGTTTTTAGTCACCGAAAATTAGGGTTCGAACCTTGTCAAGCTCCTTGGATCTTCTCCTCCCTCCTGGCTTTGTTTTCTGGAAAGTCTGAACGCTTTAGACAACTTTATGCAAACAAATAAGCCTAGGAGAAGAACTAAAAAAATAAATACAGCCAATATCAGCACCTTAGGATGAACATCTCAGCATGAGAAGTTGGCTGGTTTTGTGCTGACATGGTATCACCTACGTGATGTTTGATTGATGCTGTCATGATATTTGTCTGGTTTTCCCCTCCACATGTGATGATTAATTATCTCACACTGGGATTTCACACTGGGTTGTAACATCTAGCACTCTTTGGTTGTCAAATGCTGTAAGAGTTTGTTTCTGCCACTTCTCTCGATTAGTGAATAGGGGGATTTGTAGTTTGTCATTAACGTATGTGAGGAAAATATATTTTAAACAGATATACAACTTGCTTTTTTAAAATTTCTTTTTGATGTTTAACGCAGACCATAAGATGGACTTCCTTGGAAGCCAGGAAAACACTGGAACCGACATCAACACGACAGCCACAGAGGTAAATCGATTTTACACAGAGTAAGAAGAGGGATCTTTACATTTTTTAGCTTTGTGGGGTAAAGGTCTTCACACACTTACTGTAATTGTATTTTTGAGATCATTATTGTTCGAGATAGGGTTGTTCTTAAAACTCTGTAAAGGACAGCTCATTGAGCACAACCCCTTATGTGAAATGATCCATAACATCATCCTTGACCTCTTTGCTTTGTCTTCAATGGTTGATTTTCTGTAATAGTCTCTAACAAATTTTGGAGGCCTTCAATCAGCTGGATTCATACTTACATTACATTTCATGCATAGACTCTGTCTGCCAATAATGCAATGCCTGTTGGCAGCACTGCATTTTATTTTAGGGTATAACAGTAAAAGGAAATAAAATACAAATGAACATTACACTTTAGATTAAGTTATGCATTTCTTTGCATATACATTTTTCATGCATTATTATACACAGATTTTTTGTTGTAACATATATATATATAAAACCTTTAGAAATAGTTTTGTAAAGCACTGCCCATGGCTTAGAAATGAAATAGATTAGAGCATAGTTTTTTTTTTATTGAGATAACCGTCACTCAGATTAAGATCTTTAAAAAGTCCAAATAAGTGGCCCCAAATTGCATTGGTATTTTTTTTTACTATGTGCAATAAGTGGGCTTGTTTATAGTGGTCTACAAAGATTACTAAACAAACGCTAAGATGTGAAAACTAATTTGGTTCCACCTGTTAAAATGAGAAGATTGTGTGTTCTAAGGCAATTTGAGAGTAGTTATGTAGGAAAGAAGTAGTTCTGAGCCATGAGATTAAGGTAATACTGATCATTATTATAATACTAAATGCTATTTATATTACATCTCATACAGTGTAGTATGTGTCAAAACAGTGTATTCTCAGTATTAGTTCGTATGAACTCGTACGAAAAGTTATGCACCGTAATTTCATATGTTTTAGACGTTTTTTTCGTCGCATTTCGTTGTATTTTTACGTCTTGCCTCGAGACAAGATATCCTTGCGCATGCGCATCTTACGCACCATTAAATAACATAGAATTTAACATACAATTAACCCTAACCCTGACCCTAACCCTAACCCTAAGATACAAAACAGCAAGCAACGTATTTAGAGACCTGAAGAAGTGATTATTGCACTGTTTTTCTCAGTTTTACGTCCGTCCGCGGAACTGCTTTTTTCGTCTTTCTGCCTGCGCATGCGCACGGATCTGTGTTTTCGGGGAAAAACGTCCAAAACAAACGAAATACTGTGCATAACTTTTCGTACGATTTCATACGAACTGATAATGAGAATATGTTGGACAAAATGCTACAAACAAAAGTAAAAGTAAAAAGTTTTTTTACTTTTTTAACAAAAGCGAGAACAGCATTAAACATAACTGTGATTCCAGCAGGGTTACGTTTTATTAAATCAAGGGAAAAAGAGAATACATTTTTCCAAAGAGATGCCCTGATGTAAGCATGCACGCAAAAAAATATGCTGTCTCCTGATTTCCAAACACAAATCCCCTTTTTTAAGATCTGCTTTGCTCATACAAACATGTTTGCACCAAGACATAGAAACCCTCTGAAGATCTGATCTTAAAAGTGTCAAACAAAATTACTTATTGCACCAACTGTATGACTTTAAGTTACCCTAACAGCCGGGCAGGGAACATTGAAGTGGCTTTCCTGGACATAGAAACTGCTTGTCTAAGATATTATCTAGAGTGCTTAATTAATGAATGATATGTCTGGACACATCGTGGTGTTTGAAATAGAGCTTAATCTCTTTTGCTGTCCCTTATAAATTTCTGATTTACAGTCAAAAGGAGCTGACCACTGCTATTCTCATTTTTCTTTTTCTTTTGGGAAACTGTTGTTCTTCTGCTCAATACTATTAATAGATTGATTTGTTTATATTACTAGCAAATGTAAATAATCCTGGAGAACCAAACTAACATAAAGATTTTTTCTTTTTTAATTAAAGTCAGTGACAAATAAATGTCTACATTTAAACATGTAGATGCTTTAGAGTTATTATAGTGCTGATGAAAAACTGCAATCCTGATGTGCTTTGTTCTATAATCTTGCTGTCACCCTGCTGTATCAACCCTAAAGGGTCAGTCTCAGACAGTGGCTTTGTGAAGCCCTGACGTTCTATCGTATTTGATGACTGAGTTGCTTTCAGAGTAGATCAATTTGATGTCTGAGCTTTTGTCACAAGAATGTATACAGCTGCAAAGCTGTTCAATAGAGTCAGTTCAACATTTTTCCTCTGTACTGAGCCCTGCTTCAATTTAATACACATGTACTACCATTTATTCCTAACCTCCTTTTATTTTATACTGTAAATAAACATATTTATGAACTTAACAATTGTATATTAGTTTATCTCTGATGGTAATTCATTATTTTTGATAAAATATGTAAATATTTATGAAAATATTACTAAGATTTGAGTCTGTTCCCTAGAAACCTGAGAAGTATAATGGCATTTCTATTCTAATACCCCTTAATCTGGGTCCCCCTGTAAAATCCAACTTATCACCTTAAAATTTCACCTACTCAGTAAGTAGAATCTACCTAATTCTAATATGGATAGATCTGTTCTGTGAGGGTCCCAGAGAAGTGTGACAGAACCAAAAAATTAAGTAACGCAGCACCCAGGACTAGGAGACTTTAAAAGAGGGACCACGAATTAAAGTAATGTTGCAAGCTGCATAACATCTACCTAAACTGAAAAGCAGCCATGACATTGCAACTCTGGAGGAGCTACAGCAGACCAGGCTTTAAATGGCAGAATCAATGCTTCTATGAGTCAGACTCTCCACAAATCTGGTCTTGCAAGAGCAGCAGAAAAATCCACTGGTGACAGAAAACAGTTTGAAGTCCTGATAAATTTGGCCCGCAGATGTGGGAATACAGCACTATGTGCAGATACCATTAGATTAGATGGCAGATATGTTTCACCCAGCAAACGGTGAAACTTGGTTTTGGGAGCAACATGTTGTGTGGATGCATTTATTCAGCAAGGAGAGAGAATGCATTCAGAGAAGATTTGAAGATGGATGGTGTTAAAGGATACATAAATCCTAAAATAAATTAGGCTGAAAAAGATTTGGGACAGAGCTGGAAGAGGATGACCATAAACATACATCTACAGCTACAATGGAGACTTTATAAAACATGGACTCAATGCGGCCGACTTTCAATGCAGTCCACACTTTTACACACCTAATGAAATACATCCATTTGTGATGGTGATGTGAAAGAAAGTTTATTTGAATACTACTGCAAGGCTGTACAGTAGCATCTTAAGTTAAATTTCTTAAGCTGCTTAAGTTTCTTTCTGCTCATTATTTCAATTATACTGCATAGTTCCTGCATCTTCTGCAGTGATGAATTGCACCATAGTCCTGTAACGGCTGGCAAACATTAGGGATAATCATAAGGCAAACAGACAATCAATGCCTCTCAGCAAGTAGAAACTCAATCCTCCCCCCTTGACTGAGAAACAACTTTGTCAAGGAGCAACAGAAAGAAGCTGCCTCACTTTAAATAAAATTCAGAGAGGAGGATAGGTCATCCGCTGAGAAAGCAAGAAGTTGTGTCCATGTGGATGTTTGCATGTGGAGTTGATAGTGAAAATAGAATAGACATAGGAAAGAAAGATAAGGAGACTGATAAAGACAAAGAGACACAACATTGCATTAGACACTAAGAGCCATTCCTTGCTCGCTAAAGGCTAATGCAATTGCCACACAATAAGAGCGTCTCAACGGAGGCTGTAAAAAGAACTGGTGAGGGGAATGTAAGAGGAGAGGCAGGGAAGGAGGGAGGAGGGAGAGTTAGGTTAGGGAGGAGTGTAAGGGAGGACCGGCAGCACTGCCTTCAGACTCTCATATGAATCTCCTGGGACAATGGGTGAAACTCTCCCTGTGTCTGCACTGTAACTCTGGGCTGAGTGTCTCACTAGTAGCTGTGTCCTCAGAGTGATTGATCAGGCTTGCAGGGAGGAGAGACGGAGGGGAGAGAAGAGGAGATGACTCCGGTAGCAGGCAGGCAGACAGCTGGCTGGGTGTGTTAACTCCACATCTGACCTCTATGGGAACAGAGCTACCTCCTCTCCTCGCCAAGCAGACTGTGGGAACCAGGGGGACAGAGTTTTATCCTCCCGCCCCACCACCGCCACCCCGCCTCTCCCTGCTTCTTGCTGGGCCGTATAGCTCATAGAACTGGCAGTGGACAGACCGGGACATGACAGGACAAGACAGCTCTGGCAGCCAGACCTCTGAGGATTTCCACTGCAGAAGGAGTTTTGGAGCTGCCTCCGTCACTCAGATAGCCAGGCATTTTTCTTGTCAGTTATTAGCCAGATTACAGTTAGTCATCCAGTAAATCAGTCACCAGGGTCTTCTACTCTGTGAATATCCTCATTTGAACTCTGATGGGACTCAAACCCTGTCCTGGACCGCCAGAGGACCAGCAGAGGTTACAGTAAGTAGCAAACACTTCAGTCTGTGTCTTTCTCACACTTTCCACTGAATCAGGGTACGGCATTCCTTTCACAGATTTTATTAGCTGACTTCTTTTTGCTCCTCTTCTTGTTTTTCCTCTTGTGGCGGCTGACTTGTCCTAAACACATGACATCAGATATGATCAAAGTTCCAGCTTCAGATGTGTTGTGCAGTTGTCTGAGCCCAACTTTGATCTTTTGATGATGAGAAGAAGGAAGGCATCTGCTTGTTTAACAAGTGGTTGGAGTTCTAGTCTAATTATGTTGTCCTTGCTTCTTCTCTGACTAAATCATAATTCGATGAACCTTGATTAGATTTACAATGTCTAAAAAGCAAAAAGAAATGAGATATTTCATACACCTGAATGACTTTAAGCTTCTATAACAGCATTTTCTTGCATGATTTGCAGGACTGTTTTTTTGTTTGTTTTTTTTAATGCTAAAAACTCTGCTGTTTGGAAAAGGAGATTGATAAACTCACCCCAAAGTCAAAGGCTCGGAACATTTCTGGAAAAATAGTTCAAATACTTGAGCGTGTCCCAGAGCTTTATCTGTGTCTGCTAGATCACTGAACAGTTCCCATGTGCAAGGGAACGTGGTCGACCAGAACAAAGCCAGTACACAGAGTAAGTTGCTCTGACAGCACAAATAGATTCATATGAGCAGGATATAATGAAGAACAGTGGATCATGGAGTAATAATTGACCCTTTATATGATATACTGGCAAGATTTATGGAAAAACTAAGTCAGAAGGAAGATTTTAGGCAAGCCTCACGAGCAGCAACTGTATGAACATCTCAGATGGTCATTCATTAAAGTATCTGTAATGATGTACCTTTAAATGCAGGTTCAAATAAACATTTTACCTCTAAAAAGGGTAATTTTCAACTGTGTTAATCAACACTGTAACAGATGCCGATATGGGCGGTGCCTCAACAACAATGAACATATGTTTTCTGTTAGATTTGATGGACGAATCAAGATTGATGGATAGATAGATAGATAG